TCTCCAGGTCAACGGTAGTCAATGAATTGCGGTTGAATGCAGCCCATTTCTTCTTCACTGATGCCTTTCCCCCTCTTCCACTCACCAATAGACCAATGTGGTCGCCAGCAAGCTTACATGCTTATTTGTGTGTTCCCTTTGAGTTTCAGTCTTGTCTTCGAGGGGAGTTTGTCCTGAAGGCAATATATTGCTTGCCTTGATGTCTTCCTGGTGAACAGCTTGCTTATTCTTGTAGTAGCCAATCATGCTGACATTTTTGTTTTGGGTTTTTCCTGATGATCTTTCTTTGAAGATGTATCTTCTGTCACTGTAGCTGTCCCAGGCTGGTCTGCTTATCCTTTCTAGTGGGAATGTCCCACCTCAGAAGGTTGTGGATGGGACTCAGGATTCCACCTAAGGTCCTATACTCTGTAAAGGCTTTGAGTCCCCATCTTTGAATTTATAAATTTTGTTGAGACTCTTTATTAAGTATTAAACAGAAGTAAACACAAGACAAAGTTAAATGCAGATCACTGGAGTGAGGGAAATCATAGACGCCATAATGAATTTCCAAAGTTCTGTCTCCACATGGTGCCCTTTTATAAGGCACAGAAAACAAAGGCATCTCCTCCCACAACCAAGTCTGATGGTAGCAGCCATGCGTCACATACACACACTGGGCCTATGGACAGCAGGGAAAGGACTAACTGCAGATAGAAAAACTTACAGTCTTTGAGGCCTTTGGGGCATGACATCACAACCAGGTGATCAGTAAGGGATGTGTCCAGGAGAAGTGGCCCCAACCCCACTTTTAAAGGCACTCTGTTTCTAACTCTGGCAGGTTAGCTGTTGGAGGTGTATGAGGTAGTCAAGAAAAACTGGCACCTGACCACTTACACGTAGGCACAAGATGGAATTGAACTCTGCCTGCTGTGTTATTCACAAGTATAAACCTTCAGGTTTCATGCTTTATAGCACCACACACACAAATGGCATTTTAAAAAATGTAAGTCAGATTGTGTGACTGGCCTCCTCAAAACCTTGGCCTATGTTCTCATCACACATGGCTTATTAGACCCTAAGTGATTTGGACTTGCTGACCTCATCCTCTGCCCTCCACTGCCCTCAAGCACACCAAGTTCTTTGGTGTTCTTTTTCCTCTAGAACACTGAGCATTGTTTATGCCTCAGGCCCTTTGCACTTGCTGTCCCTGCTCCAAATTCTCACACAGCTCCTCCCTCACTTCATTCAGGTCCCCTGTAAGGTCCTCCCCTCAAAGAGACCATCCCTCATCACTCTATCCCCTTCCTCTGAATTGTGTCCTATTACTACCCAAGATCCTGTCATATACATATTTACGTCTTTGCTTAAGACCTGCCTCCACTTCCAAAATGTAAACTCCATGAGGGCAAGGATTTGTCTGGCTAACTGTAGTGTTCCCACCCTAGAATAGTGAAGAGGTGCTTGATGAAAATCTGATGAATGAATAAATGCACCTGTGCCTTGGTGCAAGGAGTCCTAGTGATGCTGTAGTATAGGTACTGGTCTGCAATTAACAACAAGAGTTAATTATAAGATAGATGGTTCAAACCCACCAGCTGCTCCTCAGGAGGGAGATGAGATTTTCTGCTCCTGAATGGTGCTGCAAGATAATACACTGGACTACAAGGTCAGTTTGAAGCACAAGGTCAGCAGTTCAAACCTACCAGCCACTCCTCAGAAACCCTAAACAGGGTCCGTATGAGTCTGAACTTGATAGTACTTAACAACAACAACAAAGATTTACAGTCTTGGATATCTATGAGTTTGATTTGGTTATGAGTTGACTTGGTGCAAATGAATGTAAGTGGGGGAGGTCTTGCATAAGCAGAAGGTGATGGGGATTTGATGCGGAAGGAAGTGGCAAAGGTGAGAGAGTGAGTTGATAAAGAAATGGGTCTCTTTAAGAGCCCAGTCCAGGTGGGACTGCAGAATCTGTAATGGCAGGAAAGACGGTGAACAGCGGCAGTTTATTTTTGTTAAGTGCTGTCGAGTAGATCCCGACCCACAGCGATCTTGTATAGGGTTTCCGAGGAGCAGCTGGTGAGCTTGAACCGCCGACCTTGCGGTTCAAACAGCTTTGCAGTCTGGTGCTTTAATCCACAGCGCCACACCAGGCAGTTTAGTGTGTGGCTAAAAATGTGGTGTCTGCAGTACACTCTCCTCCCCCTCATGGCTCTCCACAAGTTTCTTAATCTTTCTAAGCTTCAATTTCTCCATCAGTAAAATGAAGTACCTCCCACCTATGGCTGTGGAGTGAGTCAAAAGAGCAAATAGATATGATAAACTTCCTTGCTACAAGTGATCTAAGATTACAGAGAATTGTGAAATGCTGCGATGTAAAAAGACATTTCTCTCATTGATGTAAATTTTGAATCAAAATGTTCTACCTTCCCCAAACCACACACCCACAAAAAACATGCCCGTTCCTTGCTCACCCCCTCACCAGTCTTTCCTCTTTTCTGAAGAGACTTCTTAGAGGTAGCCTAGTATCTAGCTCATTAAGTTTTCCCCAAATATTTGTTGAAGTTTACTGTACTTCTCCCAAACACTGCCGTCTGGTGATGTACCTGTCAGGGAAATTTCCATGTAGAGGGGTGAAATTAGTGTCAAGGGAAAATGGACCAGGTAGAAGGACAGCTCTGTGAGCTCTGAATCGCCTGTGAGGCTGGCATAGTGAAGTTTAGCTCAAGGGAAGAGCAGTAAGCCTGTTTGGTCCACTGAACCTCTCTGACTCGCCTGTCGCGTCCAAGGGCAGCCAGAGGCCAAGGAAAAAAAAGAAAAAAAAAAAAAAAAAATCTCTGAATCTTCGGCCCCTTTAAGGGGCGTGGCCTCGCTGCAGTCATCGCAGGAGTGATTGGCTGAAGCTGACGGCTCGGCCGCCGTGCGCGGGACTCCGTTGCCAGGTAGCAGCGCTGGGGGCCGGAGTGGGACTGCGGCGGCTGCGCGGAGGAGTGAGGTGTTGCTGGAGCCGGGGGTAGGCGACGCTGCTGGGGGCTGCGGGGAGCGGTGCGCTGCTCTTGCAGTTTCCAGCCGGGAGGCGTCGCCGCCATTGTCGCCTCGCTCGGTGAGCGAAGCCCTAGCTCGCCGAGCCGGGCCTCAGCGGGCCGCCAGCACAATGGGCCAGTGCGGCATCACCTCCTCCAAGACTGTGCTGGTCTTTCTCAACCTCATCTTCTGGGTGAGCGGGACCGGCGGGTGGGGAAGGACGAGGGCCGGCGGCGCGGCCCGGGCAGGCCTCGACGTAGGCGCCCGGGGGGCCCGGGCCAGGAGCCACTTCTTGAGGTCTCTCCAAGAATGGGACGAAGGCCCCGGCGTGGAGGGCGGCCAAAGGGCCGGTTCCCGGGCCGCTGGCTTGGTGCCAGAGGCCCAAGAAGCGACGCTGGGCCGAGCCCTTGCTTTTCTCTGGAAGAGCTGTCTGTTGTTGCAGATTCTTTCAGGACCTCAGACTCGAAATAGGATATTCCCTAAAGGGTCAGGCCTGGATTTTCTTTGTCAGGGCCAGGAGTCCCGTAGGTTCAGGGGCCGCCCAGAGGCATCTGAGCAAACGCTGCAGATAACGCGGCGACGCTACTGAGTCAGGGAACTCTTTGTGCAGAGGACTGGCTGATCATCAGCTCAGAAAACTGAAGGGTCTCAACTTTAGAAGTCATTATTTGACCAAAAAAAGCAATCTATTTAATTTGGTTTGGGGCATGAATATAGCCCTGAGGCTGGTATCCTTGGTTGAATACATTCGGTGTCAAATGATTTTGAAAGCGATGATTTAGTAAAGGTTTAGGAATTTTCTTTGGACACACCCCCAAAGAAAGAGGTGTTTGTAACTTCTCCATCTTAGTTCAAGTCCTTATCTAATCAGGAACTTTTGTAATAACCTGTATTGTTCCTATCAGCCTCCCCATCCTCCAATGCAGTTGGACCTTGCTCCCAGAAAAAAAACTTACTAAGCATTTCCTTTATCACATCACTTTCTTTTATTAAGAAAACAAACAAAAGTCCCTCTCTTACTTATCTTACGCTGCCACAACAGAAATAACACAAGTGGATGGTTCCAACAATCGGAAATATAGCCTCTTCCAAGTTTAGGAGGCCAGAAGTCCAAATTCCAAGCGCCCGCTCTAGGGGAGGCTTCCTCCTTGTTGACTCTGGGGAAAAGTCCTTGTCTTCCTTCACTGGGAGACCCAGTATTCCCTGGCAGTCGCCATACTTCCTGGTATCAGTGTTGCGCAGGATCCAGGAACTTCACAGTGCAAGGACTCCATGTCCAAAGGATTGATTCCACTCCTGGATCTTCTATCTTGGTGCTAGTAGGTCCTGAGCTCAGCTGACTTCCCTTTTGTATCTCAAAAGTGATCTACTCACATACTACCTAATCCTGTAGATTACATCTGGCCTCATTAACATAGAAAGTGAGGAGTAACAACATAGGCTAATTACATCCTATCATAACCTGAGGGAGTGGGGATTGCAGCCTATTAGAGCTCATCAAGCAGGTAATAACTACATCTTAACTGCAAAACCACCGAAAATCCTGGCCCAAAACCCTTAGCTATTACACACACACCCCCCACATTTAAGACATAGAATTGGGTCCAACCTTCCTTCACTTGGTATTGGAATTTAAGTCCCCAGCCTGGCTCAAATCACCTTTCCTTCCCCTCTCGTCAGCATTTCCGTACACCCTTGCTTTCCCCAGACAAACTTCTCTGTCCACAGTCCCTAGAACATTCCTTGAATGTGCCCATATTTTTTGTGCACTCCCTCCATCTTCACAGATCCCTAGTCAACTCTGTTCCCCCTCCCATCCACAGCCCTGGTCTGGAAAAGAAAACTTTCTTCTTAACCCTCCTCACCAAAGTATGAAACATCTCATATTCTGACAGCTGTTGGTTATATATACACATCACTGACTACACACATGTGTTCCCATAGAGTTGTTTAGTGTATTTATGGTGTGAAGGAAAGAGTCCTAACTGGTAGGTAATGACATTGGGGTTTCCATGATTTTTTCTTACCCAATTAGAATAGTGTTTCTTTAGGGCTTTTTAAAGAGAAAAAAATGTTCACGGATACTCAAAGGAGAAGCACTGTTACATAATGAGGTCCTTAAGGGGCAGAGACTTGGCTTTGTACCCTTTTAGCTCCTTGTGATTTTATGGTCATAACTATTTGATTTTGAAGAATAATACTCATTATTCTAGGTTTTTCCAAGCTGAAGGACTAGAATTTCTGTTAATGTAAGAAAATAATTGGAAACACAAGGAATCCTTTTCCCTAAACAATTATATTTTTATTATTTATTCTGAACTATCAGTTAATTTTAAGTGATTGCTCATGAATTTTTGAACAGTGGACCACGCAAGGTCAGTTTGAACCGTGAGGTTCTTGGTTCAGACCCACTAGCTGCTCCTTAGAAACCCTATACAGGATCGCTGTAAGTCGCAGTTGACTAGACAGCACTTAACAACAACAGTGAATAGTAATTGGTACTTCCATGGAGAAGGTTTTGTTGAACTTCTGTTGTGCTTTTCATAGAGGGTGATAATCAAGACTGAATTCACACTAAATTCAACAACAACTTTAATCTGAATTAGAATAGTAAAACTTATGTGTGCTCTGATAAGGAAGCTTAGCTGTGTGTGTGTTGGGGGGGGGGCAGGCAACACTGTGACAGAGCAGCATTAATGAGTACAACATAACCAATGAAGAAATGACTTTAGATGTGTCCATTGCCACATCTTGTACCATAATCACAATTGTTGTATTTGAGCCCATTGTGGCTGCTACCATGTCAGTCCATATTGTTGTTGGTGTGTTTCTCTTTTTCACTGACCTACTTTTCCAAGCATGATGTCCTACTCCAGGGTCTGGTGTCTCCTCATTATATGTCCAAAGTACAAGAGAGGAAGTTTTGCTTCTAAGGAACATTCTGGCTGTACTTCTTCCAAGACAGATTTGTTTGTTCTTCTGACAGTCCATAGTGCATTCAGTATTCTTCACCAACCCCATAATTCAAATGCATCGATTCTTCTAGGGTTGATTAGGCTAGGAAGAAACGATTGAAATCTGCTGTTGATGGAGATGATAACATGATACTAGCTAACCTTCCAGTGCTGACCCATGCCAAGCACTGTGTGCTGTGCGCTTGTCAGTGGACTATCCTAACAGAAACTCTCTGGCAGAGAGTATTGATACGCTTGTTTTACAGATGAGGACATTAAAGTTTACTGCGTAAAAGTAGCACAACCAAGATATGGCAGAGCTAATGTTCAAACCCAGATTGTCCCATATTTGAGAGCCAGTGGAGTTAGAGCAAGGTGTGATTTCAAACGATTTGGAAAGGGAAGGAACTTGGTAGCTAGATTAGAGGCACTTTCTCTACAGTTTACAGATTTTAACCATGATTAGGGATTGTACCAGCATTCAAACTACACTATTTAACTTGTCTATTTTTATAAAAATTAGGTCATAATGAGGAAGTACAAAAAACAAATATTAACCAGTCCTTCCTGGAAATGTGTTATGCTTTTTTCAGTTCTACTAAGAGTTCTCTCATCTTAAAGCTCTTCCCCCCCTTCCCATAATGCCTTGTGGTGGAAGAATAAACATTCCCTACATCTAGGATCCCTTGGGCAACTTTAGTAAAGACTTGTTAACTCTGTTGTACAGGCTCTTAACTATCTGATGGCAACTGGCTGATTGCAGATAAGTGTTAAAGCTAATTACTTTGGCAAAATCCTTAAACTACACTTTTTTATATCTTGATATATCCCGGTTCGTTTGGCAATTGTATGTGCTTAGACATGGAAGTCAGTACATACCTGAAATACTTGGACTTAGCTTATTAAATGATCTCATATCAGCCAAAATTGTTAAAGTTGACGGTCTAGATTGTTTTGACAGTGCAGTCTAAAAAAATAACGAAAAGAAAGGAAACACAAAAACCAAAAGAAGCAGCAGTCATTTATAAAATCCTGCAGAGTGTTATAATACTAGAGAGTTCGTCAGTAAATTGCAGAATATTAGGGCTTATAGCTAGACAGTAATTTTGAACAAATGAAAGAAAGGAGGTACAATTTGAATCTCTAAGTTTTTTTGGTGTAGCTTTCAGTGTAAGTGTGTTAGCTAGACCTGTGATGAAGAAAGTTACGAGTATTTAAGCTAGTGACTAAGTTTTGAAGGCTTCTGTGTGAGTCATTCGGTGATGTAGATTAAGAGCTGAACTGTAACAGAAGCTCCTTGGAAGACCGGCCTGGCAACATGCCAGGTTACAGCTTTGGAAACCCTAGGGAGCACTTCTACTCTGCATACATGGGGCCTCTTGAGTCCCAATCGATTGGAGGGCAACTACCACCAAGCCTGGTTCCTAAACTGCCTCTGTACCAAGTTAAGACAGGATTCTAAATTTTGTGTATGATTGATGTGTCTAAAACAAACTGAAATCAGTACTTTCTTCTAATTATCAGGTTTTTATTGTGGTCAGTTGATTGAGTACTTCATCAAATCTAGTGTTATGCACGTTAGTTTAACTTTTTCTATTCCGTGAGCGAAGCCAGCAGGCTACTAAGTGTTCTAAGTTCCTATTTGTTTCGGTCATTATTTCTCACACACTCAAATGTGACTGGAAGAGAAGTGAAACTTTGTTCATACTTGTGGAGTTTGTCATCTGGCACATCTGTTTAGACTGTTGCTTGTTACCTGTATGGTCGTAACCCTAAAACACTTATGAGGTGGAGAGTACTATGAGAAAATCAAGTACCTTTTTAACACCTTTAAATGAAACTTCAGAAAATGAAACTTCAGAGTATGGAACCTTCTCTAATGTCTTTTGCTCATACTTAAATAGCTTACACTTAATTGTATTTGAAAGCAAGATAAAACATTTTAAATGTTTTAACAAAACAAATGAACTTTCCACATCACACGCCTCCTGATAATGCATATAATTAAGGAAAATGGCTTTGTTAAATATAATGCAAATATCTAGATATGTATCTACTTTGTGACTGTATTATTGGTAAAACAGTGAAGAAAATAGTGAAGATCCCATTCTTACAGAATTTTCTGGTGTAGGAAGACAGTAAACAAGAAAAATAATCAGATAGTGATGTGTTATGTAGAGAATCAAAGTAAGGTGATAGAGATGTTTAAATTAGGGTGATGTGATAGGATAGTTAGGGT